CCATCGCCAGCCTCATCACCGCCATCACCATCGTCATCGTCATCACTAAAATCATCATTCTCATCCGCACCATCAGCATCATCAACATCACCACCACCACCACCAGCACGATCGTTATCATCATCCTCATCATCACCCACATCATTCCCACCATAACCATCGTACTCATCATCAACCTCATCATCAGCAGCAGCACCGTCATCATCTTCATTACCGCCATCATCATCAACAACAGCAGCAACAGCAACCTCAGCATCACCCTCAGCATCATGATCAATTGCAACATCTTCATCATCAGCATGGTCCATATCACCATCATCATCATCACCTTCATCATCGTCAGGATCAGCAACAACAGCAACCTCATCATCGCCATCAGCATCATCGACAACAGCAGCATCATCATCACTATGATCATCATCACCATCATCACCATCATCGCCATCATCATCAGCAGCATCACCATCATCAACCTCATCATGATCATCATCAGCATCAGCATCAGCATCATCATCATCATGATGATCATTATCATCAGCATCAGCATCATCATCATCATCACCATCATCATCATCATCATCATCACCATCATCACCATCATCATCATCATCATCATCATCATCATCATCATCATCATCATCATCATCATCATCATCATCATCATCATCATCATCATCATCATCATCATCATCATCATCATCATCATCATCATCATCATCATCATCATCATCATCATCATCATCATCATCATCCGCAACAACAACAGCATCATCATCACCATCATCACTATCAGCATCAGCATCACCATCCCCGCGGCTGGGGACTGGTCGGCTGGAGCCCGACGCAAGAGCGGGGGGCACGTCACCTAGCCAGGGCCCACGCAGGCCCACGGGCCAGAGGAGAGGGGAGAAAGGGGGGACCGGGCCCAGGGAGGGACAGGGCAGGGGCCCAAGGCCAGGAGGGCAGACGCCCTAGGAAAGGGGAGCCAGGGGGCCCAGCGCCGTCTGCAAGGTTGCGTCCAGGCGGCGCGCCTCCTGCGGCTTGAGGCCGGCGATGGAGCACCGCGGCCGCGGGGCCGCATTGTCCCAGGAGGTGCACGGCGGTCTCCTGGGACTGGCCGCGGAAGTGGCAGGGGGACTATGGCGCCCGCGGCGTCGCGCGTGAACGCGCCCTGCAGGACGCGGCGGGCCCACGCACGGGCTTCGTGCAGCGTGGCCCCAGCCGCACTGCGCTCCAACGCCCGCACCTGGCTGCGAAACTGGGCGCGAGCTCTGGCCCCTGCCTGGAGGCCTGGTGGGTCCGGGAGGCGCCAGTGGGCGAGGAGCCACTTCACGTGCCGCACCCAGGAGCCCTCAGCCTCCTCCGCCAGCAGAAAGACTCTCTGGGCCTCCGTGTACTGGGGATCGTCCATAGTCGTGGATCACCAGACCGCCCATCCAATGTGGCACAGGATGAGGGCCCGCGGGACGGGCCCGCTCACGCCGAGGGCATCCCGAGCGCGGCTCAGTCCCTGCAAAGCCCTCCACGTGGCCGCACAGCTCGGCACCGTGCGCCACCTTCGGTAGCATGCTTGCGGTCGGCCCCAGGTTGAACTCGTGCAGTGCGAAGCCCAGGTGGCCCATGATCGCCGTACGCCGCCGTCCGGCACCGAGCGCCTGCCGCTCGATGGCCTGGAGGTGCGCCAGTCCGGGCGGTTCGGCAGGGCGGTGGACACCAAAGCACTTGCATTCCTCCGCGAATCCGACTCCGTGGGTACGCCGTGTGCCCAGGAGGCCCCTTCCAAGAATGGCAGTCCACGTCGGGCCGCACCGGACATGGCTCCCCATTCCTCATCCTCCTCCTACTCCTACTCCTCCTCCTCCTCCTCCTCCTCCTCCTCCTTCCTCTCCTCATCCTCCTCTTCTTCTTAGTCTTATTGTTTGTATTATTCTTCTTAGTATTGGGCTCATTATTCGTCTTACTATCATTTTTACTATTACCTGTATTATCATGATTAAACATATTATTGTTCGTATTTATAATATTCTTATCATTCGTAATTTGTTTCTTCTTGACATCATGTCAATTATTCCTCTTCCTCTTCCTCCTTCTCCTCCTCCGCCTCCTCCTCCTCCTCCTCCTCCTCCTCCTCCTCCCCCCGCGCGCGCGGAAGGGCTCCCACGCGCTCAGGATGGGAGGGGATGGAGCAGAGAATGATGATGATGACGAGGAGGAGCCCAGCGACCCATGAGGAGGAGGAGGAGGAGGAGGAGGAGGAGGAGGAGGAGGAGGAGGAGGAGGAGGAGGAGGAGGAAGAGAAGCAGGAGAAGGATTGAGGAACGATATTTGTACACGTGGTGGGGCCCTCTGGGGCCTACTGGGGCCTACCCATGGGTGCCTCTAGTGACCTCCAGAAACCTCCAGAGATCTCATGAGGACGAACAAGCGAACAGGACCTATGGCGTCTCGAGGTGTTGACTTACTCCTCGCGGGGCGCTCTCGTCGGTACGCTGGAATTCCC